CCCCAAAACCCCAAAACCCCAAAACCCCAAAACCCCAAAATGTGAATATTTGAGCGAAAGTTGAGAATTATGTAATGGCTAAATTTTAAGAATTGAGAGGCAGAGTAATAGGAAAATTATTATTTAAATAATGAGAATGATATTCGACGAATATTGCTGTCTCTCTTAACTTTAATGATGAACTTCACCTGATTTTTTTTATCACTTGAAGTCTTCCTCAGTAAATCTACCCATATCATGATTGAGGAAGTTTTGTCTGAGAACAACGAACTCATCATGATATTTATACTCTAATCCAAGAGCTAACACACAGAACAAGAAATATGCCCAAACAAGATTTGAGTCTAAATCAAGTTGAGATCTAATATGAGGTGAGTGATTAATGCCCTTTCTTTTCCCGAAAAGGTCTTCAGTGTCAAATCCACCGAGTAAGAAAGCTTGCTCTGAAGGTAATCTGAAAGCGTGATAATCATTTTTGTCGTATTTAAGCTTTAATGGTCTCTTTCTGTAAGGGTTCTCTGGGGCCTTTGGTAGATTATGTCCCGATACATTCTTTGCAGCATCATTGATGTTATACTCCTTCTTAACAGACACAGCAATCAATCCTTACCAGAGATCATTTCTTGTCTTTTAAAGTAATTTTCCTATCATCTTTATAATTATAATACTCTCACTCTATTAAATTAAATTGAATTAAAAATTTACACCTTAAATAAACTATGAACGATAGTTTCGACTAGTAAGTGGAGGAAGTTAAAGACGATCATTTTGAAATTTAGCAAGAATCACCTAGACAAAATATAAGAAACTAATTGGAATCATAAGGCATTGATAATCCGTTGATGTCGATTCAAGCAAGATCTGAGATGCTTCCTCCAAGACCAGGAACTTCGAATTCAGAATAGGTTTCAGAATCAAATTATTAGAAAAGCAGTAACACAACGAGCTTTAATCTTAGAGACTATAATCAAAAGAGATTGTAAGGAAAATCAGGTGTGTATGATCGAAGACTAAATTCTTCAGCTCATAATTAATCTGACGTCAACACATCTTAGGGAAATGAAAACTCTCCATTAAAGGAAAAGGAGTAAGAAGTAGAGGAGGAGACATAAGGAGAAAGCAATTACTCAGATTAGATTAATTCCGAAATCATAGAGAGTAAAATGGGAAATATCAATATCTCTCTATTTTGGGAAGAGAAAATAGTAATGATAATCAGATTTTTTCAATTCTATGGATACCTGATGATGATATGTTATGAGGTTTGGCCTTTTTAGTCAAGAAGGGTTTGGTCTGGACTATTTTTCTTTTTCACAGGCTCATTTCAATTTATGATCAGTGCAGATCAATACTATTCTGTAATTCAATCAATGAGATTGAGTGGGTTTAACTTGATTGGATATGTGATTTTCCTAGTATTAGTTATTACAGTATCGTTTTGCACTGTTTTATTTTCTAGAATATACTTCGGGACTATAAAGCAGAGAAACAAGATAATGAATTCTAAATTTGGATTTCAGTTCCAGAAATTGTGCATCTTGCCTAAATGCAAGAGTAATGGCTAATCAATGAAATATGGGTTTTGGTTTTTAGAGATTATCTATTTCCCACTATTTATGAATTTAATAGAATATTCTACTTGCCAATATTACTCATCAAAGGAAGCAATATAAGTGGCTAAGTGTAACTTGGAAACAAATCAATATGTTGCAATGTTGTTTACAGCACTTTTAACATTTCTGGTTGCTTTTGGCTATAATTTAATACTAGCTTTACATCTCTATAGAGAAAAGGTATCAAATTTACTTCACGAAGAGTATTTGGTTAAGAAAGAAATAGAATATGCTCTAGGAATTTCTGAAATGTGGAGTACTAGATTCTTCTACACTTTTTCATCTTTTAAGGGAGAAGTTGTTAAAATGTATCATAGAGTTATTTTTAATGGGCTTTAATTCGTTCTCATGATTGTTCATGCATCAATGCCGGAAAGCCAAGCTAAAATTGGAATCACAGTTGGGTTAATGACATTATTTGTATTCTATATTATAGCAACAAGGCCATATAGGAGCTTTAATTCAAATGTTTTAATATTTATGCTGTCGTGCACTATTGTGGTTACTTCTTTCCTACTTCTATTGAAAAAGGGAGGTCTGAAATCTGCCTTATTTGTTGATAATTATTTCTATGGCTTATTGATTGTTGTGAACGCAATTTTCTGGGTCTCAATAGCTGCATTTTTAATACTAATCATCTTGACGAAGTCAAAGTGGGTCACTACTAGAGAGTCAGTATTAAAAGCTATTTCAGGCTAAGATATCGCAATATTTTATATTAAAAAAGCAAAGAAATTTGTAAAATTAATCTCATTAATTTTTTGTTAGCAAAAGAAAGTTGTTAAAAGTAAAAGATTTGAGACAAAGGAATCTAAACTTCTCAACCATTACTTGAAAACTCTAACAGATTAGTTCAATATGCTTAGAGATCGACAACCAATAATCTTAGATGCACTCCTAGAGATAATAGAGCAACTCAAAGAAATGAAGAGAAAGTAAAAATTAATCTTGAAAATTTATCAATTTTAGCTATGAAGAAAATAAGTTTTTATACAATTATGACTACAGAGAAGAGCTTTCAGGACTTGTTAAGTCAAGGTACAGGATTTATGAAACTAGAGAATTAAGTTGAAAAAATTTTGAAATTTAATTGAGTTTATTAACTAATAAAAATTACTTAATCTTAATATCATAATGACTCAGTCTTATTCACTTCAGGAACGTCTTATCAGGAAAGTCTTTACATTGAGGTGTTTGAAGATTTGAATTATTACCATGATAACATTTAAGAAGAGTCCCAGTATGGCAAATACAAATGCATCATCTGCAATAGTTAAAGTCATTATGATGAACACATTAATTGCTGTCTAAATTAGAGTGAATATTACTGTGAAATTAGCCATCGTGTTTAACGGAACTAAGAAGAACTTCCAATTGTTCAGGTCAGATTATAGAGATTCAACATTAAGGAAGCCAGAACAAAGCAATCTCATTATGTTTACTCCTGAGAAGTAACTAATACAGGTAATGGTTTGATAAGAAAGTGAGAATTTCTTGTACAAAGTTCTAAAATGTGGTGAATGTGCATAAATCGGTGTCATAAACAAAAAGTTGAAGAAAACCGCAATTGCACAGGTAGCTATTAAGTTCATAAAGCAAACTGCTAATGCAAAGACATTAGATTTAAACCACATGTTACCCAGTAAAAACAGACGATTAAATGCTTCAATTGCGCTGATAATTGCATAAATAATGTCGGTAGTTTTGTTCTTATTTTTCGTTTTAACCATTGAAGCTATAACTAATCCAATGCCTAAAAGGACTGAGATAAACATGAATAAGAATGAGAATGATAATATTTGAGCTTGACCTTATTCACACTCATTGTTGATATCATTTACAAAATATCTTTGAGGACATTGAAGCACACATTCGTTTTCAAAAAGATATAGTTATCTAGCTTCTGGCGTTTTATTACAGACTAAACATTAATCAGATTCATATCCACTGCAAATTAAACATACTGAATTGCAATATGAGCATAGATTTTAGTCTTTATTATACCATGTTCCTAGACCACAGACATCAACACAAGTTTCATAAAGTTCATTTACGATGTTGTTTAACTAGAATTCCCAGCAAGATGTGCAAATATTTTCACTTCTTTCACAAGTCTTGCAAAGCCCATTACAAACAGAGCATTTTTAGGTAGTTTAATCTATGAAGAATCTGGAGCCTTGAGTTGAATTGCATTGATTTTAGTCATCAATAATACATTTTCCAGCTGAAGTATCAAGAATTGGGAAGTTAGAATTTTATTTGCATGTTAAACAGAAATTGCTAGTCAAAGAACAAGTCTGGCAATTTGAATCACAGAGTGAAGAATTACTTTATCTACATTAACTGTTGATCGTATCTTCTATTAATCCTTTGGTACAATAAGGCACACACTATCCATCTTCCATGAAATATCCTGTTGAACATGAGAAGCATTGATTGTTTCCTTGACCGCTGCATTTTGAACAACCATGATGACACTGAACACATTGTAGGTTATTTACGTCAAAGAAATATCCATCACCACAGTTATCAACACAAGCGTAGTTTCTAAAGATAGGATATTTAGAAGGATTTTTGCATGTGGTGCATGTAGCAGTAGTTCCAGCGCAAGAACCACAAACTTTATTGCATTTACTTTGATCATCAATCTTTTCATAGATTGTTATTCTGGTATTGGTAGATCTACTTGCTATAGTTAATGCAGATTAGCTTTGAGCTTCAACTAAAAATCCTGATGTAGAACCAGCATTTATTGGGTTTTATACATCATAAATTCTCACTCCGTATTGCTCAAAATTATTAGTGAAAAGCCCTTTTATTAAAATTGAATTATTTGATAACTAAGAGCAGTTCAACTAAACCCATGGTTAGAACATAGACACACATTTTCTAGAAGCAGCCAGCATTCTACTAGTTGTAACTTTTGGGAATACTGCAATTTCTGGTGGGAAATTTATAACTAATTGGTCTGTAATATTGAATTCCGCATCAGCTGAGAATGAGAATTCATAGTTAGTGATTACATTTGGAATTGGATTTATTGGCCTAATGTATAAGTTTTAGATATTAACTGGTATCAGTTCTGAGAATAATTTGTAAACTGGTGGAGTTACTCCTTTTTCAACAGCATAGCCTTCTTTTGTGAAGACGCTAATATTAATAGCCGTATCAATATTTCCAAGTTATGAGATAGGATTTTTAATCCAATCAATTAAAAGTGAGTAAGCGGATCCTACAAGACATCCGGTTGTCTTGTTGCAGAAGTTTTTGATTGTTACATTTTAAACTGATAGTCCATCGCTGTATAAGTTTTAGGTAAAGTTGGGGAATATCACTGAAGTATCGTAATTCTTAACATCAATAGAGGAGTTCTTAATTGTTAATAAAACATTTCTTGGAACTGTAAGTACTATATAACCTCCTTATGGGACAGAATTTTTGTTTAATTTGAAACTAAGAACCCAGCTAACTTTCCTATTAATAACATTATTTGTTCTAATGATTTCTGGACTTGGCAAAATCAAATAAGTTGGAACTAAATCTGGCTTGATAAAAACATCTTTTGATGTTTGATCAATAAAGTAGTAGCCCTCCTTTGTAGTAGTTCTAACTAGCATTGAATCAGTTGTTCCATTTAAGGGATCAATTACATAATTAAAGTTTTGAATGAAGTCATCGTACATTTTGAAATAAACTTTAGATTTAGCCTTACATGCTGATACTTAGCAGTAGTTTCTCACAATAATTGTTCTATTGCTAGTAATAATTTCGCAAAGTAACAGATTTTAATTAACTCCTTTTGAATCTGTTGAATAGCAAGTTGCAGTTGACGTCGATGGGCTTATCATTGCTTAAGCTGCTAATGGCATTTGAACAATAATGCTTGAGGTAGATTCAAGAGCATTTCTTAGTTACATGTTGAAAAACAGTTGAGTTGTCTATCCAGTTTAATATCCTGTCTAATCATTCATTGCAGATCTTGTAATTGCAATGTCCAAGAGTGTTAGCATTTCAGTAACATTATAGGTGATATTGACAATATTCTGGTCAATTTGATAATAAGTTCCAGTATTTTGGGAATCTCTTTCGGTGTAAACAAGGAACGGATCAGTTGGTCTTGTTGTTGATGGGTTGTAAATTTTACTTATTTCAATTGTTAGATTTTACCCAACAATAGTAGATGAAGTATGGTAAATCAACATTATTCTATTGCTGATACTGCAAGTTCCCCTACTTGGATCTCCATCTACTCTTATTTAGCATGAGTTTGAATTAGGAGTCAGTTGAGAAGGAATAACGACTCTTATTCTTCCCTTGCCAGCTTTATTTGGTACATAATTTACAGCCTTGAAAGAAAGGTATATTTTAGACTCTTGCTACACAGTATTTTTACCATCATTAGTAATATAAAAATCTGAAATGAAATCAGGAACGATAGTAAGTGTGTTAAGCAGAGTGCCCATTCCAACATCGACTTCAGAGTACCTCTCAATCAAAGTAAATGTTCCAGAAGTTTGGAAGTTATCAATTCTGTTCTGGATGGGAATCTTAAACAAATAGATTCCTGTTTCTTCACATCCATAAGGACATGGTTTTGAAAGAATTACTTTTTAAATGTAGCCAGAAGGGTAGAAAGAAAATTGGCAACTCATTCCAACGAAACTTCCAATCACGACATAACAAATATTGTTGCCATAGTAAGATGAAAGTTGATCTGGGAAATAAAAATCAAATAGTGCTTCACTAGTGAACTATGCTCCTGGTACAATCAAGAAAGTCATATATGTTTTACTCAAGACTGTGGTGTCTTCAATTTCTATAGCTTTGATAATTGCTGTTTTACCAATTAGGTCTGGAGTTGCCTTCAAGCCACTGTATTACCCATCAATATATTCTTTGTTTGAATTCATTGTATATACTCCCCAGGAACTTGTTCCAGAATTAGATAAGAACGAGGAGGGATTTTATAATGATTAGAACAATAATTAGATTGAATATCCTGCTGCACAACTGGTTGTGCATGGCGATTTTATATCTACCCATACAAATCCGGTGGGTTTAAAAACTATCTGACATTAGAGTGTAGTAAGTGCAAAATCAATTTTGCAAGTTGGTCCATTGGTAGGAGTTAGAACCTAATCGATTGGGAAAATAACTCGAATGTAACCACCAGTAGGAATAGTATTTATTGTTTCAAACCAAACTCTGTAGTCATTAACAGCAGCCATATAAGGAGAAGATCTAGTAATATTTGCTACTATTGGCTCTGGAAGGATGTTAGTAACTTTTGAGTGATCTAGTTTACCCTAACTTACTATGAAATTAGAGGAACTTATACTTTCAAGAACAAATTACCCAGTTTAGGTGAGAGGAACTGATGCTGGATTTTTCATTCCTCCTGTCAAGGTCATTGTATAAACTATAGGGGCTGTGCAAACTGCAGATGGGCAAATTCCAGAAACAATTACATTTGTTAGGATTCCAGAAGCAAAAGTTGGAGTGCAAGTGTATAATGAACCACCAACAGAACATGACATTGTTGTGGTAGTATACTATAGAGCTCTGCTTGCTGGGAATGTCACTTTTAATTTTCCTCCCTATGGAATGTCATCTTGAACTGTAAATAGGAAAACATATTCAGTAGCTCTTGAAACATAAGCCTGATTTTGATGAGTAATTGTAATGGTATCAATAACTCCAAATGCCAAATCTGGAGAGGCATTTAAAGGAGAGGCTGATTAAAATATTAGCTTTCCATCGGTTCTCTTATGAATGATTACAAACGCATCATAGTTGGTAGATTGAATGAAAGGATTTTTAGCATTTGAGACTGTCACAGTAAATGTAACTCCTGCAGAGCAAGTACCTGTACACTTCCACTCAGTACCTTGGGCAATATTGTATACAGCAGTAGGACTTCCACTTGCTACAGAAAAGGTAAGTGCATTGGCATTTGATGCATCCTTAAAAGTGAAGGCAGCCCCTGTTGATAAGATTACTTGGTTGAGAGGTAGTCTTATTTCTACTAGGGAGTCGTCTATCAAGTATCCAGGAATAGTCCAAGTAATAGTGTAGTCAGCAGCCACTCCTTAGGTTGCCTTGCTTCTTGTTACTGAAGTAGCTGTCAATTAACCAGGTGAGAGAGTAGCTACATTAGATAATCCATAGGTGACTGTACCAACTATTGTAGATGTATCATATCTAGTTTCTATTAATAGATTTCCAGAAAAAGCATCAACATAGAGTCTGTTAACTACATTCTTGAGTCTAATTGTAAAACTTAAAGCATCATCACAAGCTGTTGTGCAGAAATTATCGATCTTTATTGTATTTATTACACTCGAGGTTTGAGTTATAGTACAAGTTCTTGAAGATTCTACACCTCCGTAAACATAAAAGCAGGTAATATCTCCAGCATCTTTTCTAATAAATTCTGTATCGAATGTCAGCAACACATATACGGTGGGTTTAATTGTAGCACCAAATTTCAAATTGATATCGACTGTTATTCCAGAGATTGCAGCTTAGGCAGTGCTAAAAGTAATGCTTGATACTGTGATGGCAGCTGGAATTACAGCAGGAGTAGCTTGAACGTTGGTCACAGTATCAACAACATAAGAATTGTCTCTAGTGTATGTTGAGATTGTAAAGAAATTAGTAGGAGTGCTCACATAACCTACGTTGGCAAATCCTTTTACAATTTGGAATTTAAAAGCCTAACTTTCAGTACAGAATTAGTTAGACCCACTACACCACTCTTTTATAATGAATACTGTCTCGGTTGAACTCTGGGTTGATACTTACAGAGTCTGGCTAGATCCCCATGTACTTGTTCCAGTTGATTGTTGGTATTAGAAGTTATCTCCATTTGGAACGAATTGGGTAGAAGGCACTGATACTTGAATGATTCCACTCTTTTCTAGTTTTGTTGGGAAAGTCAATGAAAACTGCATATTGGTTGTTGCATCAACGTTAAGAACTGTCCTGATTAAGGATGTCACTGTGATTGTGCCAGCTGTGAAATCTGAAAGTTGAGTTTTTAAGATGTCAGTTCCTATAACTTGATCTAGGACATTCTTAATTTCAGCAGTTGCTCCTGATCCAGTACTAGTAGATGTTGAAATAATCTATCCATCTCTTGGTTTAGTGCTAAAGGGATTAGAATACCCTATGATAGAAAACTCATAGGTCTATGCTCCTCCACAACTTAGAGTTCCACATTGCAAACTTGCTACTATTCTTGAAATATAATTGCCCATGTTATTTGGATCAGCCACCTTTGTCGGAGTACAGGTGGTGCTAGTTGCAGCTGCTGCTGATCCAGAAATCTTGACTGTGCAAGTTGGAGTTGGTGAAGTTTTGTCAAATAAAAATGCCACTGGAAATAGAATATTGACAAATCCGGTTGTTCCTAAATCACCATTTGAATTAGTTTAAAATGTGAAAGTATAAGTTGTTGCTAAACCTACTGTATTTACTGTCCTTGCAATTAATACTCCTTGCATTGCTCCATAATTACACATAGGAATTGTATAGATATCAGTAGATACAGCATCAATTTTGTCACCAGCAGATGTATAGATCTCTATTTTAATTGAATTAGTTGGAAATCTCGCATTTGCTGGATTTTTCATTCCTGATATTTAAACTTTAGAAGTAAATGTATTTGGACATGAAAGCCCTCCATTATCATCTGAACACCATTCTTTCAAGGTAAAAGTATTGTAGTTTGAAGTTGGACCAGCCAGTGTTGTGACAATACCCACAGAGCCGATTCCTGACATATCAGTAGCTCCAAAAGTAGTGGTATCTATTAAAGCTTAATCTGTGGGAATATAGAATTTTATTTATGCATTAGCTGGAATAGGATTCGTTGTAGAAAAAGAAATAGTCAATTTGATACCTGTATTGACTGTTACAACATCTCTAGAACTTGCAGTATTTTTAATCTCATTAAAGGTATCAGGCTTAATAGTAAGAGAAGTACTCGTATCTATTCTCGCAGAGCCAAAATATGTATTAAATGTGAATGCAGATGATGTAGCTCCAGTTTTAGGGTTCTAAACATTATTTATGAGTTGAATTGTGATTGTTTATCCTTTTGATAACTCAGTTGCACTAGTGACTGTGACAGTTTAGGTGGATATGCTGGCCACACAAGTCAAAGTAATTGTAGTTGTTTAGGCAGAACAAGTTGTCGACTAGATCACAACTTATGAAGGGAAAATCACCTCTAATCTGCCTGAATCAGTAGTAGATGGGATTTTATTAGTGGGATTAGTAACTGTGAGTGTATAACTAGTAATATCTCCTACAATTATTGGAGTGGTTGGGGCTGTAAGTGCAACAGTAAGCACATTAGGATTCAAACTAAGCTAGGCTGCATTAAAAGTTCCTGAATCAACTAATCCATTTGAAGAGGAAACTTTAGTTTGAATTGTAAAAGCAACGAGGCTATTGGCAAGTGTGCTGAATGGATTTACAAAATTGGTGATGACGACAGAGTAAGTTGTAAGTGCAGCACATGTTGTTGAAGAACAGGCTGAAGAAATTAAGACAGAAGAAATTTAAGTAGAATCAGTTCCAAGAGCTGTAGATGTGCATGTTTTACTTGAAGCTTGCACTGTGCATGTAATAGTTGCAGTGCTACTGTAATAAGCAGTATTTTGAGGAAAAGTTATTGAGAAAACTGCTCCGTTTGGAAGTATCGTAGCTGTTTAAAAGCTTAGAGTATATATAGGGACTGCTCCTGTTAATGCTGAACCAGATCTTGCTAAATTCATGTTTAGCAATGTTCCTGGAACTAAACTATTAGTAAAGTAAACTCCTGATGTGATTTAATCAATTGTCACATAGTTTGTTCCAAACAAATTTTAAGTCTATATCTAAACTGAATTAGTCAAGGGACTGTTTATATAACTTGGATTCTTTGCGTTAATTAGCTTCATTGTGAAGGTGGAGCCTGCTGGACATTCAGTAGTACAATACTTAGAAGCTGCAATAGTTGCAGTAAATGTGCCAGATACTTAAGCTAAGGTACAAGCAAGATCATTCCCACTTGCATCTTAGCATGTAGTTGTAGCTGAGTAAGCTACCTGCTCATCTGGGAAAGTAAATACAAATCTACCGACAGTAGGTACTCTAGTTTTGCAAGTGAAAGTGAGAGTATATTAAGCACCACTAAGACCTACAGTAAGAACAGTTGTTGCTCTTATTGCCGATGTTACTGTAACTGTTCCTGCAACAGTTGTATAAATGACTCCTGTTGTTGATTATGCTACTGTACTTCCATCTGCTTCTTTAAATGATATAGTAAATGGAGTATTTGTAACTACTCCAAGGTAATTTCTAAAATTACCAACGCTAAATGATATTTAGAAGAATGAAACAAGGAGTCCACTTGAAAGATTTCTAGTAAATCTTATTGTTTAGCTGTTCAATCTTGTACAAGTAGATGAGCCAAGAGTACCTAAGATACCGACACAAGAAACTGTGGTTGAAGTTGACATGTAAGCTGCAGGACAAGTTACCTCAATGTAACCTCCACTTGTATACTTTGCTGAGGGTGTTATCGTAAACTAAATTAAAGTAAAAGCATCGACAGTTTTATCATTGACAGTAAAACTATCAATGGTCAAGAGACCAGGCTGAGTAATTGCAATCGTCAATCCTGTAGTTATCTGATCTATTTCTTGCATTGCATCGTCTAAGGTTGTTATAGAAAATGATCCTGTTGTTTGGATTGAACTTGGATTATTGATTCCTGTTATTGTTAAAGTAATAAATTTAGTTGCATCAGCTGTTACCCCCGAAAGGTCGAATAGAGAACTATAGGTAACAGTTTAAGTTATTGGTGTTTAGACTGAAAATCCAGATTTCGTAGCTCCATAAATATTCACTCCTGTCATACTAAGAATAGTCTAGGGGGCACTGGTCCAAGGTGATGGAAATACTAATTGAAGAAACCCTCTTTAAAGGATGTTATTTGTAATTTTGAATTTAAATGTATAGGTATCTGTGGTACCAGCTTGGACTAAGTTGTGGGTAAGTGTGGCGCTGTAAATCTTATTCGGGATGTAATTTAAAATTAGACCTTAGTTGAAAGAACCAGTTGGGTATCCGTTTGTAAGAGCCACCTCAAACGAATCAGTATATCTGACACTAGGAGGATTCCTTATAAGTCCAACGTAGAAATAATAAGCTTGAATATCGCTATAAGTCTAGCTGATCTTGAACGTTATTGCTGAATAGCCAATGTACTCATTATAGATGCAATTGGATATTGTAGCATTTTAGTAGGAGTTGGTGACACTTGAATAAGCTGCCTCTCTACACTTCCCAATAGCTGAGCCAGCAGTTGCTATAACTTGTAGGTCAATAGGAATTTTAACTGTAACATCTGTTCCAGCTTGAGCTCTACGGGAAAACATTAACAATATTTCAAATTTACCTATCTGTAATGACCTGGAAAGCATAAACACACTAAGAATTAACCATATAGTCACCCTGATCTATATCAATATCCATGTTTACCAAGAGTGTCGCATTAATATGGTTAAATGTTATCAGATAAATAAGCAATAGGTATTTCAATTTTGAGAGATCCCATTTCTAATCCCTCAGATCTAGAGACTTTCTTTGTATCTATAATAACTTCATTATTTTAATTATGAGAATTTAAATTTATTTGGATAAATCTAATGTTATCCTGTGATATTTAATGACGGGGTTTTGGGGTTTTGGGGTTTTGGGGTTTTGGGG